TTGTGCAGACAGACCTTTAAGCTTAGTGTCGCCCTATCAGCGGTGGAGTGTGTGGAAGGTGAGGCGGACGGCTAGGCCGGGATGTTCGCCGGCTGCCTCCCTCCCTCCCAGCCCGCCACTCACTCACCACGGCTCCACCGCCCGCGCCTCCCTGCATGGGCCCATTCTGCGCCGTGTCCGCCATGGCCGCGCCGTCGCCCGGCTCCGCTGGGGAAAGAGAGGGTCGGTGGCGCGCGAGCTATTCCGCTGCGAGGGGAACGAGAGGAGGCTGAGCGCGAGGCTGTCGCGCACGACCCGTACCCGGCGGGGCTGGGGATGCGATGGCCGCGGCAGGCGTGCGGAAGAAGACAGCCTTTGAGCAGGTGGCGAGATCCACGGTGCTTGGAGCAATCCGGCCGCCGGGAGACTAGCCTAAAGGAATCTAAAGTTATCTAAAGGAACACCTCCTTCCATATGGAGGAGGAACACCCAGGCCTAGAGATCATCATCAGAGGTCCTTCCCAGAGAGCTCTCTCTAAAGGAACTAAAGAGGGTGGCTACTAGGGGAAGGGCCTTTTCAGTTGTGGCACCCTGCATGTGGAATCAACCCCTCAAAGTGGTGCGCCTGGTGCTTAATCTTTATTCTTTTTGCTGCCGGGTGAAAACTTTTTTTTATTTATCCTGTATTTTAACAGATAAAATTGTATTCTTATTTTTTATATATTGTCCTTCATCCAGTACAGCTGCTACACCTCTGGACTGATCTGACTGCAGTTGCTATGGGGGTTTTGTTGCTATTTTCTGTATAATTTGGTCTGATTTCATACATATTGATTATTACATACTGTTGTCTATTATTTTATTTGTTGCATATTTTAATGTTGTAAACCATCTAGGGTGCCTTCAGGCCGATGGGCAGTGAGTGTATGTATTTCCCAAAAATCACATTACATACCATGTCCAAGTGAACACATTTTAAAGTAAAGGGAAGGTGGTGGGTGTGCATATTCAGAGCAGGGAGTAACCTCTGCTAGCCAATGCTTGTGAATGTATGTTCTATACTTTGCCTTGGTTGCCTTTCCTGTTTTGCACAAAATATACAAGATGTGTGTGATTATGACTTACTAAGTGTGAACTCCCTCTATCCTGCTGTGACTCAGTACTTTCTAATGCCAAGGGAAAGCCACATCCTAGGACCTTAAGTGACATATGGCAGGTAGAAAGTTCAGGGCTTTGAACTGGACTTATTCATTATTTGTTTTTCGGCGCCAGGCAAAGACCTTTTTATTTAAGTGTCATTTTAATTGTTAATATTATTTGCTTATTTTATCTGGCCAGGGCGACTTATTTTATATTGTTATTTCTTGTATTTTAATTTTATGTTGTGAGCCGTCCCGAGGCTTCGGCGAATGGGGCGGCATAAAAATGTTTTAATAAATAAATAAATAAATAAATAAAAATAAACTGGGCAAGGATACTCTAATTACCTTTTTAACTCTAGATTGGCTAATTGGTCACAGGATCCAGCTAAGTTCCCTTTAAATTAAACAACAGAGGCGCATTTAGCTGCAGAATCTTCTCACAACAGGCTCCACGCAGTCACAGAGCCCATATGTGTGAGGCACAGAAACCACAAAGAAGAACTGGGCATCCTTTAAAATATTCCTGTATACCCTGACTGCCCAACCCTGCAAATCCCGAGTACACGCAAGCCTTTCCCTACCTACGTTATTCACACTCTCATACCTCAGAAATCTTTCTTTGGAAGCCCCTACGCTTCCCTTGCTGCACATCCATCCCTCGTTATTTTTGCCTCCCTCCCCCTCTCTTCATATCTCTATACATTCAGGAATGATTACTGCAAGATCCTTGGGATATGGGCTTGTCTGGCTTTGTTTAGGTAAAGCAAAGCACTGTGTAAACTGATGGTTCTATATAAATAATGTAACACTATCATAGCCTACAGAGCTGTTTGATATGGGCCTATCAATACACCAGAGGGTGGAGAGGCTTGGAAATTTAATCAGGATCAGGAGCATACCTCCTCCCAGATAATCCAATGGCCTTCCAGAATGTGTATTTGTTAGGGAACCTTAGTGGCAGGCTTCGTCGTGCCTTCTCTTGGCACACTTATGAGCTGAGACTAATAGCCACAATCTAAAGTTAATGTGAATGAAAGAGGATGGAGTAGCCAGGCACATTTGCCTTCTCAATGTGTGTGGGCTGAGTTTACAAAACTGCAAGCACCTAGAAGTGTTGAAACTGCTTCCCAGTAATCTGTTGGGGTTTTTTTTTAATTCCAGACCAATCTGCTTGAGTTCTCATTGCCAGCTTCAGCCTGTGTAGTATGCATCTGGCCGAATCTGTCTTACTATTCAGGATGAGAAATAGAAGGATAAACTCAGACAGGATAGCTTGAGAAAATATTCAATTCTCACCTGAAAATTTAGAGTGCAGGACTTAACCCTCAGCCAGGGGTCTCAGTCTTGCAATTAAGGCCTTGACTTAGTATCAAATAAAACCCACTTCTGAAGGAGTAGCTTGGTAGGCTACAAACTGCTCACACTGCTGCATGGCATCCACACACAGGGCTGTGTTTGGGGTACGTATCAGCAGCAAGCCGGTCCACCCACATGCAGGCAAAATGTGCATTCATGCTACATGAGTGGACCTGTTGAAGCAGATGGCAAGTTGTTTTCTGAATGAATTTCAAACAACACAACGCAATCAAGACAGTCCTAATCAAGAAGTAGAATCAACTTGTAGTACTATATAAATCCATATATTTCTAGTGAAGGCCATATAAAATCATATATTGCCGAGCAGAAATTGCATCTCCTATGATGTCTGCCCAGAAGAAACCAGCCTTATCAACAGCAGCTCCTGCTGATGGCTGCTAATTACATTTCACAGAAATTAAGGTCGCCCTACCGTACATTCCCAAGTGATCTGATTCTTTAAAGTAAACTCTAAAAGGATTCAAAGCAGAGCCCAGTTAGTGGTGATGGCCTGGAACACCCCTCCCAAACCAAGCATGAAAACTTAGGCTTTTGAAAAATAAGATGTTACCTTTTGTCATGATTCAGAAGGCTATAGGATGGGTCTAAACAGATCTAAAAACTAATTATAATTTTTCAGAATGATTTTTGGGTTTTGATATGTCAGTGCATGCTGACTCAATTATTTTTTTTAAAAATGTTGATGTTATATACCCTTTCTTGTCATCCTTAGCCTTTCAGAGAAAAGGCCTTTCAGAGAAAAATATAAATGAAATTGTATAAATAACATGGCAGAACTTTCATTTGCAACCATAAAAGTAAGGTACAGGGAAATATGCGCAGAAAGATCCAAAACCATTCACCTGCTGAATCTTTATTTTTCGTTGACCAGCTGTAAATGATGGAGGGTCACATTCCTCTTCCAAATCAATGGTCATGAACTCGTCTATTGTTAGCTGACTTGCAGGTGTATCTTCAAACTCTGTAAGTCTAAAAGAACACATAAAAAATTAATGCAAATATTTCCATGTATGAATCTCACTGCATCGAAAGAGCAGCAAAAGGTATTACCCAGCTCATAACAAAACTATGCAAAGAACTGAATAAAAACAATTTTAAATAAATATTCCTTTTTCCACCAAGCTGATGGCTAATAAGCAACCTTCTATAACATGAAGTGCCTATTAAAATGCAGAAATAAAGTTATACATTCATCTGAAAAACTAGCATTAGATCAATATTATTTAAGCATACATGATTTCCCCCTTTTACAAGCATGTTTAACTATCGCTAGGCCATCCAGCTCTCTCCTGACAGCAGGTCTCTAGCATCTAAAGCAAAGGGAGCTTGTAAACTAATACCCTTTAAGTTCAGATGCTCAGGAATGAACTCACCATGCTGCATATGCAAAAACAACCAATTTTTGCTCTTTCTAACAAGAGCAACCACATACTCGGGGGATGTGTTTCCAACAGCAGCAAATGCACACAATAAAGTGAATGAGCAGCACTGGTACAGTGACGTCACTCAAGCTGTAGACTTTCAACCATGCTATTTTTACATGGACTTCCCCATTCTGGCTACAAGTGCAATGAATGATACTTGCTTAGTAACGATTTGCATTTACATAGAGTACTTCAAGAGATCTGAGCACTTCGTATCCCTGCACAGATGCTGGCAGGGAGCTGCTAGGGCTGGAACAGTGGCTTTCCAGAGCCATTTTCGGAGTCTAACAGCCATTAGAACCATGGACCTCCTGGCTCACAGCTCACACGCTTTGCACATGCAGGACATGATCCCTTTATGCTAGAAAAAACAGTGACTCTACGCCACAGATGAAAACGCTGGTCAATTAGGCCCAGGCAGCATGGCCAATGATCAGGAATGCTGGGAATTGCCATGAACAACATCTTAGAAGGTCCTAGGCTGGGGAAGCTCCCATTTGCCTCTTATGCCACAGGCCTGTAGGGTGACAAGCATGAGTTTTTCTCCAGGCACAATTGCACCTGTGATCCTGTAGGTCAGATTTTTCTGTGTTCCAGTAATGTTCCCCATTTCTCACTCCCTGATTGTGATCCTTCTAGCATTTATGACACAAAACTAGTTATTCCAGAACAAGCCCAGGCCTCTGTGGCAGGGCTGCTAGCCAACCAGAAAGGAAAGAGAAAAGGAAAAAGAAATGGCTTAGCTGTTTAGGGATGGTCTGTGCTATTTATTCTGTTCATGAGTTGTGCGTGCACAAGAGCCAGCCACTGGGAGGCCTGGAAGTGGACACAAACCTACACAGCACTGTCATGACACTCCTGAGGGATTCCTTGTCAGAGGAAGAGCCTGCACTCTTAAAACCAGATGCCCCAGGGAATGGGCTGCCTCAGATGGTCTTGAGTCCTCAGGGAAGATGCCAGCTTGGGAGGTATCTGCCACTTTGGGAGGTGAAGTGCTCAGCTAGCAGCTCTCAAGAACACTGGCACCTAAAGAAGCAGGAGCACCAACCTGGAAAAGAAGATGTCTCAGACACAAAGGCCTCCCTCCCTGTGAGATACACCCTTCCCCCAGGTAAGTCTTTTCCCAGAAGGCTATGATGATGCGAGGGTGAGCCTTGACGGTAGCTCTGAGAATTCAGACCTTTAAAGGCCCTTCTGACACAGAGAGTTGCTGGAAGAACTGCTTGCCTTCCTTCTGATGACCTAGCCCTCCCCGCCATGAACTCTCTTCGTCAACCATCAGACTGCCTTCTGACTATGTCTTGAGTTGCTGCCTGGATATTAGTCCTTCGCCTGGGCCCTTGGACAACCTTGCGAATGTGCTTCTGAATCATCCTTGCTTGGATTCTTGTGTTTTGCCTGCATCCTGCCTTACCAAGCAGGCTTTGGGTCCTGCTTTCCACTTTGACTAGAGCAGAGGAGGAGGAGCCTAGAGGCAGCCTTGTCCCCCAACCCCCCCCCCCCAGGGTAGCATCTCAAGGGGGAGGAGAAACAGAGCAGATGCTAAAAAGAAGCCACCCTGCCAGGCTGGCTGGAGGCCGGTTCACCACCAACACCAGCTCAACATGGGTCAATCCACAAGCTAGTAGTCAGTCTGTCTCTGAATGATATCCAGATTTTCGTGTGTACAGTGGCTTGCCAACACACCACTCTCTAGTGCAACAGTGGCCAACCCTCCAGCCTGTGGGCCAGATCCAGCCCACCAGGCCTCCCCAGCCAGCCTGTCCAGGCCATGGATGAGGCCTCTTCCTCTCTCTGAAGGCCCAGCCCTTGGAGAAGGTAAAAGGGAATGTCTCTATCTGGTCCCGCTGCTTCAAGGCGTCTGATGTACCATGAGATACGAGTGGATGTGGTTGTTAGAATGTCTACAAATCAGTGTGTGGGTGAAAGAGAGTGCCATGCCTGGTGGATTTACTGACTTTTAACAATATGCAGCACCTGCAAGGTCAGCCAGGAGGGAACGGAAACCTCCGGATGAAAAAAGTTCTGTGCCCAGATGACCAAGAAACACCACTTAGGATGTTTGACAGAGGGAATGCCGGAGCTATGGGGATGGCAGCAGACTGCCCCTGCGCCCCATGAACCGTGCCTCGGTTTTCCGAGTGTTCTAAAAATAAAATGCTAAAATAAATAATGAATTAGCGAATCCATGGGGTGACAGTAGCAAACCTAGAAGCTATATTCATTATATTTATTTGATCAATTTCTATCCCACCTTAACCTTCAAGGTGGCTAACAATCTTGAGATACAAAATTGCAACTATAAGAACGATTAATTTAGAAGAGATTGTTGCATAAAACGTCAAAAGCCAGCAGCAGAAAATTAGAACAATGAAATACAGTGCTTGAGCAGATGGGAGGGTGCGCTTGTTTCACTGCCACTCCCACCTGGCTACCTGAAACAGGACTTTCGGTGTGGGTCATGATAGGGCCAACACCAGACATCACCATTTGGCAGAAGGCCAGGAAGTCAAGGACTAAAGAAACCTCCTTTGGAAAGGAATTGCATAGCTTAGGTGCAACTATCAAAAAAGCCATCTCCCTGGACCCAGACAAACCGACAACACGGAAGGACGAAAAAGGCAAGAGGAATGCTCTTGATCTTCTTAATGAGTGGTCAGCCTTGCATAGGGGAAAGTAATCTTTCTGATAATCCCACCCCAAATTGTAAAGTGTTAAAATGAGGGAAAACACTCACCTCAGCCAAATCACAGGCTGGCCCCTCTCCACACAGATGCCACTGAGGCAAATAACACATCTCTGTGAACAGTTCAAGAGGTGAATTGCACCTCCCCAGAGTTCTTGTAACACAATGTAAAGGTCCTCATGGCACACACCCAGCATCCACATGCACCCCACCCATCACGATACTGAGCATTCTGCTACAAAACTGGTTTTTATCTGCATTTATAGAGGAAAAGTAAGCATGGCCTGGTATCATTGCAACAGGGCTTGAAAGGTTTGAAGTCGGAAGACAACTGCCTTCTAATTCTAGCTCTAGTAGTAATGATTCTGTCAGAGCTCGACAAACGTAACTTGTAATCCTCTACAATGTCACAGACTATGTCAAAGAAATCTTTGGGGACAAAAATGTTCTCTAGCTCATCTATGCATCAGTGTTAGTCTAAAGGCAAAATCAAGAAACAACAAATAAGTTGCATTGTTTTTGTGCTGACTTTGAGGTTGTAACTCTCAAGCGACAATGGTGCTGACAATTGCTTAAGCAAGTGTGAAAATGAAAGTACTGAACTCTACCACCAAATTCTTAGTGTCTTCGTAGTAAACAGTTTGCTGAAATGTTAGACTCACTCACAGGGAAATTCCGTGGGAAAAAAAAATGGCATTTTCTCCGTGGAAGAAAAATAGAGAGTTTGTTCAACTTACTTACTGAGAAAAATTAGAAAAACATTCAAAATGGATCTTTGCCTAATGTTCAAGCAAGACGCTTGTGATTCAACCAATGAAACCACTTTGAAACTATTTTAATATGTATTCCAGGCCACTACTTAATTTAGCAAAGCAATTCTTGGTGCATCTCCAATTAAATTTGTAGCCAGATTCCAAATAAAGCCATGTACTTCCATTCATAACAAACATTCTTTTCCTTCTGGTAACATCCCAAATTCCCAAAGTCAGCCATCTGCTTGACAGCTGATTCAAGATCTATCTTGACTAACACATATCTGCTAACCACTGACATGGCACGTTTCCCCCCAGCACTTAATATAACCTTCCCTCTTCTTGCCTGTTCCCTTTAATGCAATGCCCATGACAAATTTCAGAATCTGCAAAGAAAACAGAATTCCAACCTTCTTCTACTCCTGAAAACATCCTTTGTTGTTATGCATGGTGCATGCTGGAATCCATAGTTTACAAAAACCAATTCGCCCTGGCACAGAAATGAAGGTGAAGCCATTGCCATTCTGTGGGCATGAATTATATACAATCCAAAAATTGCCAGTACAGACTAAGAAGGTGTTTCAATGCACATGATTTTATAAAGTGGCTCTCATGAGCAAAAGAAGCTTCAGCACTTGGATGCAGGCTGATGGAAGAGTGCATGCCTCGCGTTTAAAAGCACCCACGCCCTACATTTTATGCAGCGAATATAGTCATATTTTGCGACAAGAAAGTGCAGGAAAACCAAAGTGTACCCTGCATTCTAAGCAAAATTTTAGAATCACAATTACATCAGGGGGCACACCTCTTGATAAAGATATTCCAAACCCTGATGTCCCTGCACTTCATTTCACTCTCCTTATCAGGAATTGGTAGGGTGGAACTGGGAACCAACAGATCTGGTTACTGCTGCCCTCACAAAGGGCAGTAAAGAGCTCGAAAGTTACCCTACCTACTCAGTCCAGCCAATGGCTTTCTGAATAAGCTAACTATAAAGGTTTCCTGGTCAGGCTGGGACTTTGACCTCAACAGTCTTCATTGTGTCTGACATGAGTTCTGGCTCCTGCTCAGCAGGCCCCTGCATCTCAGTTTGGACACCCTTGTGAG